CATAACTTTGATTTAGTTGACTCAGAACAGGGTCCAATGGCAGGTACTTGACAATATGGCATTGAATTATGAGAGTCTATGAGAAGTGGATAATTCCTTGATCAGCTAAAAAAATATCGACAAGGACTCTGTTGCAAGCAGCTACTTAGATATTTCCAACTTCAAACAATAACATTCACTTCTAAAATTTAATTAAAACATTCTGTGGAAATGTTTTCATTTAATGAGATTACAGCAGCCTCTTTTACGTACTGGCAATAGAGACTGTGCCATGTCATGAACCGTGTGTCCACTGCTGCTGTATCCCAGCTGCAGGCATATTGCCTGGTATTTGAGATTCTTGGCAAGAGGTTCCAGGACGCTTGCCATGCTTTCCACACCAGGCTACATGAAGAGCACTGGCCCAGCCTTCGCATCGTCTTCTACGTCCGCCCCGACTCCAGTCGCTGATGGCAGACGCACAACAGGCAACGATGCAGATGCCTCATCCCCTATCACATGCAGCAGAAACTGCTGTCCCTCAAGATGTTCTTCAACATCATGAGATGCAGCTGCAAACACAACAGGTTACAAAAATTATAACAGTGAACTCACATTTTCAATATCAGAATTTCTGATTACCGGCTTAACAAGATTCAACAGATAAACTCTTTGGATTATACTGACATTCCAAAGGTGTTGCACAAATGCGCTTTTCGAGACAACTATTAGGTTTTACTATCAGAGGAATGCTGATATTAGAGAAAAACGCCAGGTTCTAAATATAGTTGAAGAAATTCAAAACTATCAACAAAATCAGAAAGACAATTTGCAATGCATGGACAGAAATAGGCTTCCAAAATGGGCATTCTGTTACCAACCATGAGGATGCAGAGACCTGGGACAACCAAAGGGTCGATGGAAGGACCAAGAACATCTATCTTCGAATTCAAAGGAACAACAGGCTTATGGCCTACACCCTAAATAGTTCATTATGATGATGATGATCCAAAGGTGTTATTCATGCCAGACCACAAAGGTCATCCCTGCACTAATGTGATCCAAGGTCACATATGCAACTTATGTCAGCCTCGCACTAATATTACATGAGGCCACTGCTGTGGAGTAATTGTTGGGATGCCCCGGAGAAACCGGGGAAGCCCCCGGAGGAAAATTCCGTGTTGCCTAGACCACGGCCTTGCCCAACCCAAGTTATAAATTCGGGCACCGCCGGGAATCGAACCCGAGACCCCCAGGATTACAAGGCCAGCGTTCTAACTGCTAGACCACCTCATCTTATTATTATTTAGTGTTCTGTCTGACGACAGGTCCCTATGAACAGGATCCTTCCATCCTTTTCTCGGACTGGGACCTGTTCATATACGTTCTTGGCAGATGATCCAGAAGTGGTTTGCCATTGCCTTCTTCTGTGTGTGAATGGAGTAATTGTTGGGATGCCACGGAGAAACCGGGGAAGCCCCCGGAGGAGAACTCCGTGTTGCCTAGACCACGGCCTTGCCAAACACAAGTTATAAATTCGGCCACCACCGGGAATCGAACCTGAGACCCCAGGATTACAAGACCCCCTAAATGTTAAGTCCTACTTGACAAACCTTCATAATATTTTCCATTTTGAAGAAGAAGTTATGAACCTTGAGATGTTTGTTCTTCCTGCTCATTGACCTGGTTTTTGCGCCCATCTCCTCGAGGTGCGCAAATGTTAAGTTTCGCATCTCCTGAGGTGTGAGAAATAATTCAAACTCTCGCTCAAGTGACTGTTTAATCTCCACAGCTGTCATGGAGTCCATCCCTAATTCTGCCAGTGTGGAATTTGGGCTAATGGTGTTCAGATCACGGATACCTGCGATAAAAATTTATTTTATTTTAAACACTAATCAATTTCAGATCCTTGTTCATTATTAAACGCAAGTTACTTAGGACTTGAAGTGAAAGAAACCAGTTCTAATTTAAAGGTTCATTTCTTGGATGGAGGAGTATTTGTAAACCAATGATGTGACCCTGAAGACAGACAGCCTGAAATTTATTAGCTATATTTTTATTCTTATTCATAAAATCATTTCATCCAGTGTTCACTACTTTTCTGCCTCTAGCATGGCCTGTATGTAATCATAAGTGATATTTTGTAATAAAAACAAAATCTATAACTAAATTTGGAAAGGTGTACGTCTTGGAGAACAATGACACTCAAAAGATGTACATCAACCATATCACATAGGCGATTGTAGCACTAATGTCAACTAAGGCCTTTGATGCACAACAATGTGTTCCAACAATGACCTTAGGGCTTCCATGCACTGATGCTCCAACCAGAATGACAGAACCACAAACTACATGCAATGAAACTAGCTAAGTGTCACATTAGTACATACTAAACTCTTAATCCAGGAGTTAGAGACTACTTGACAGCCTCAAGTGCAGGGTTTAAATGTGTAATTAATGTATGAAAAATGTTGATGCGTAAAACAATCATTATGTGGAAGCACTGGAATATATATTGTGTCATTAAGGTTATCATAATGAATCAGGTATTTCATCATTTAATATACAGTTTACCTTAAGAAAACTCTAGACAAAAAAAGGAAATTTCTGAAATTTCTAACTATCACACAATCTACGTCTACTACCACCACAGCCATCCGTTAAATGCTGCTTCAGTTTTAAGTTGTTTTTCCATTTCTTCTCATTACAATTCCTATGTACTTAAGTGAACTGCTGAAAAATCTCATCGCAGTACATTTGAAGCTATTTTGGACTTACCTATGATGCTGCTCACACACTCCACAACATTTGCATGTTTGCTTGTTCTAGCAAATTTTTCTGCCACGACCATGCTCGACACTACAGGGCACGTTTGTCTCATGAATCTGTGAAGCACCTCGAGACATGATGAAATCCCCTGTACTAGGGTGCCACCTACAACTAATGACACACACAAACATATTAAAAATTCAATTGTAAATACCCAGTGAACAATATTGTTTTGATACATTTTCAACTATTGAATAAAGCTAACTTCACTGAAACTCCAATCAGGTGTCAGTACCCTGAGGGTGGAGGCAGTGTGTTCCTCAGAAACATGTGTCTTCCTACAACTCCACAAAGTGTTATTTATCCAGATGACTAACATTTTTCTGAGAACTTCTCTTCACTCAGATGTTAGACCAAGACAAGGCTGTATTTATACCCAGCAAAATGATATGATCCAAAAATGGTGTGTGAAAAGCCAAGGCAGGAGTCTCTGTTGTTTTCCTCCAGTTATTTCCACTATTTTTTAACATTTTCTTTCAACTTAACTCCTATTTTTCTGCACTCCTCAAATGCCATTTCTACAATCCCTAGTATTAAGAAGAAAACAAATGAGGAGAGCCATGTCTCTCAAATGTTATCACATGTGAGACCCCTAACATTTAAGGAGTAGAATGTGCGATACTTTGTATAATATACTTCTTCTACATAATTATCCTGCAAGTCTGAACTTTATCAGACCTACTCCCACACAGTGAAACTTATCGAAGTGTTTCACAAATAATTTTCACCCTGAAAGAAAAAGAAATTGGCAAGCAACTAGAAAAACCTGAAAAAATTAGAAATTTAAATAAACATAGCACTGGTCAATGGTTTTTGGTAAAATATGCATTTCAACTTATAATCCCTTTGAAACACACACACACACGACTGGAATCCCAGGCCACTTTCCTGAGAACAGTTTGCTAGTCCCAACACAGAAGATCTGACATGTCTGAACGGGTTGCGACAGGTGTGTCACTGAGACAAGGACACAAGAAAGAGCTCAGACACATAGCCTCCATGTTAAACCTATGGTATCATCTGCATGTCTCATGATTTTACTTTGAATTCATATAACTGCTTGCTCAAAAAAGAACCTCTACCTGAAGACTGATACTGTCAAATTCTTCTACTTGTGCCAACAAGTGAGGAGCACACGTGAAATCATTACTCTTTGATTTTACTCAAGATCTGACTATTCAGACTAAGCTGAAATAATGATATATTTCAGAAATACATCTTAGAATATTATTTAAACTGCTCTGTATGAAACCTGAAGTATTATTACATCCAGGTAATGACATTGACATCACGAACGAAAGTAATCTTAAACCCCAGTGTGTCTTGTATCAAGAGTATACCCTTATTCTAAGCCTAAATTTTGATAGTGATGAAAGCTTACTTCACATCACAGAATATCTGTACACAGGTGTACAAACATATTTTAAAAGCACAACTGACCCATATGAATGTCTCGCAGTCTCTCCTGAATCTCTGCAACCAACCCCACATCCCCCACAGCGCCCCACTGTACAGCAAGACCTGGTAACCCATCTCTGGTACGGGCCTCACAGATGCGCTCCATGACGGAGTTGTTCATGCCGTAGTTCGTCTGCCCAGCATTACCA